TGTGGTGAATCATACTTTAACACTGGCCTAGTTCTCTGTACATTTCTAAACTCCTCACATATATCAATTCATTGACAGCCCTGTTACCTATGACCTATTACTGATTAAGAAACTAAGGCCCAGAGAGGTTAAGTAACTAGCCCAAGGTCACAAGCTACTAAGCAGGACTGCAAGCATTCTGGCTTTAGGATATGTGCTCTTAACCATTACTAATTTGGGATGATTGTGCTGCACCTACAAATGTTTTGGTATATAATGTGCCCAGGTATTTACTGAAATATCTGTGAGTGGTGGACCTATCTGAGTGTGTGTGTGTGTGTGTGTGTGTGTGTGTGTGTATGTATTTCAGCCTGCGATAATGTGATGGCCTGTAAGTATGTGGTATGCAGCTTCTCTCCCCCCAGGGCTGCAAGTTAATGGGGCTCACCCCCAATTCTCTCTCAGCAGCCTGGTGGCAGCATGACAACCAAACTCCCAAGCTTCCCGGCCAGAGACGGGACCCAGAGCCTCCCAGCAGTGTCTGCTCCCCAGATCCCAGAGGTTCCAGTTTGCCAACCCAGCCAGGTACAGTCACATGCAATGGAAAGGCCCCTCAGCCATTTCTGGGTCCCAGTCAGGAACTCCCCCCCACCCAGAGCCCTGGTTCACCTTTTCACCAGACGCTGCTGGGTTTTACAGTGGGTCAACTAAATGCACTGGAGTTATTAAACAATCATGATTTGCTTCCTACCCTATAGACATAGCAACTTACACCTGTGCTAGAGCTCCCTGAAACCTCTGGTGTGAATTTACACTACCAGCCTAAGCTGACAGGGCCTAATCTGATATGACTCCCGCCAAAAGCGAAGAACCTTGACATTCAAGTTAGTCCCCAAAGCCTTTCAAGGTAAATGTACGGGTTTGAAGGGTTTCTTCACATGTGAGCCCCACCTTTCGTGGGGAGAGGGGTGCACAAGAGGGGAAAATTAGCCTTGGTCCATCTACTCTAGACATGTAAGACACAAAACTTCATCAGGTGCCACAAAACTGGAAAAAGCCCCATCATTCTCTACCACCAAAGTCCAACTCACCCACCGGGAGACCACCCTCCGCCTCGCTGAGTGGGACCGACGCCAGGAGACTTTCAGATGGAGCAGGGCTGAGTGGGCCCTGTAGGCGCCCTTTCCTCCCTCATGTTCCTCCTGGTCCCCGCAGCTCGCGCGCCAACCTCCTGCAGCACAAGGACAGGCCAGCAGTCTGCTTCCCTGACTTTTGAGGCTCCCAAGTCAAGGAGGGGCTGGACAGGGAGAGGGGAGGGAGGGGGGAGCTGGTGAAAGCCGCCAGTGAGCCAGGTGTGACCATGGGAGGCCAACACAGAGCTTCCCAGGCTGGCCTCTGGGAGGGCTGTTTACTTGTGGTATTCAGGAGATGCTCAACTGGGAACTGGCTTATTTACTTTCCACACTTTCCTCCAAATCCTTTTCAGAGTCCTCTAGAACCCCAATGATAAATGTCTCAGGGCCCAGAGAAACCCACAGACCTGCAGCACACAGCCATCTTTGTGGAGCAAGTTGGGGGGGTAGGGGAAATGTGGAGGGGAGAGGCAAGATAGGGAGGAATGAGGGGGTGCCGTTGCCTGCCTGCCTCCTCTCCCCATGGCGGTGCATAAGCGTGGGGGGAGCAACTGGCCAGATTTGGGGCAATGGAACCCAAGACTGAGCGTTGTCTACCTCCAGCACGGAACACACTGTCCAGCAGGCCAGGGACCACCCCACCCCCAGACGTGGAAGCCACATGCTCAGGCAGAACAAGCAGCATTCTATCTCGTATTTAGTCATCAGAGAAGAAGAGATAACATTTCTTACTCTGTTTAAGGAATGAAACGCAGAGCTGTTTCTTTTCATGACAGGCAGAGACCTCTGTGAGCCTTTCCTCATGGCGAGGATTCCCTTGGCTCCCCTGCTTTATGACTTCCCAGCAGAGGTGCTCGCCCGCGGCCCCTCCCTGGGCTTCACCCATCCCCTGACCATGGTCCCCAAGTACGTTCATGTCTCAGACGCTGGGATAGAGCCAGGGTACAAAGATGAGCAGCCCCTGTCCCTGGGGGGGGGGCAGCTTCTCCCCACACCCAATCTCCCAACTTCTATCCTGGCCAGCAGTGGAGGCAGGAGAGGGTTCTAATACCTACAGCTCAGCTCGGTCAAGGTTCTTGGACTCCCCAACGTGGGCTTCCTGGGGAAGGTGCACAGGGCCTGCTGGGTAGTGGTCAAGCTCTGCTCCTTATTTAAGGTTACATTTTTCCTGTGTACAGACACCTTGGGTAGAGCCATGAGAGGCACCCCTCTCGGCCCTTATGGGGTACAGAGTACCAACCAGACTGAGGATAGTAGCCCCTAAGCGCCTGCAGGGGTGCCTGGAGGCAGCACAGCCTGCAGTTCTCTAGCTTCGTGACCTGGGCATCCACTGCACCCCTCTCAGCCTCATGTCCGCATCTGTAAAGTGGGGACAGTGACCACTGTCCCTCTATGGGACATGTTATCACCCCCACCCCAGCTCTGCCCCACCCATCTCTCTGGGGACCAGAAACCACCCCAGGGCACGCAGCAAGCATGGGAAGGGCAGCCACTACATGTTCCTTTACGTTCACCAGGCAGGAGGTGGCAGGTGAGGGCTGATTTCCCTGTCGGACAGATTTCCACTCTGGTCAGGGCGAAAGAAAGAAGGAATATAATAATCCATTTGAGAATGTCTGCCTGGCCGTTTCTCGCAAACCCAAACTTATCACTTATATGGTCACAAGTGGCAGCTTTGTCCCCACTTCTCCACTAAGCAGCAAATCATCTCTCACTGGAATTACTAAAGTATCTCCCTCCAGTCACTTCCGAATCTCTTGTCATTTCCAGACTCCAGTCCTACATGGAAGGTTCTAGCAGCCCAGAGCCACCCAGATTTTGATTTCCTGTGGCCCATGGTATAACCCAGTCTGGGCAGAGTGTGTGGAAAAAGGATTTCAGTCAGAGGCCCCAGGACCATGTTAGTAAGTAGCCCATGTTGCTTCTTTGTTGTCATGTAGAACCAGTAGGGACCATAGAGACGGCCTGGCATGGTGGAGACAGCCTGAGTTCCAGAATCAGGCTGTCCAGGTTCAAATCCCAGCTTTGTTCCTCATCAGCTGTGTGACTTTGAAAAAGTTACTTAACTTTTCTGAGTCTCAGTTTCCTAATCTGCAAAAGAGGGATAAAACGTTAACTTCATAGGGATGTAGGGCTCAATGAGACAATGTACACAGAGCTCTTGATTCACAGAAGACACAAGGCAGGAAGGTGATACAGGGAAGGACTGGCTACAGCATTCCACCTGAAATTGGAGACAGCCAAGTCCTGGTCACTCCCATCTCTCATCTGGGGCCACAGTTCTGGTGCTGCCCATATGCTTTGCTAATTTCAGCACTGAGACCACAAAGGGGCAGGGGAATGATACATTTCCTTATGATTCCATGGCCAGGTTGTCCCATATCCTTGCACGCTCTCAGTCCCATGGCAGCAGGGAATCTCTCCCCAAGAGATTCTAATCCCAGTTCCAGGAACATGAGATGTTTCCACTCCTCTGGGAAACTCACGCCAGCTGGCATGAAGGAAACCACCCTACGCTCAGTACAGGGACTGTGACTACCCCTCCACCTGCTGCCACTGCAGAGCCAAGCCCCCGCTGCTGGAGGACACAGCTCCTAGACCCTTCATGAGACCCATTTCCAGCCAGGCCAGCAGGAGCCAGGAAGAAAACACCAAACACCATCCTCTGCTTAGCCAGATGGACACGTGGAGACATTCCTACTGCTCCTCTTAATAGGAAGCACAAGCCAATGATGAGATTTAAGTACCCAGCACCAGCCCACATGGCACTGTGAACACGATGCCTGGGCCACATCTCCAGACAAATCAGGCAGGGCTCCCTGGAACCACTCAGGGCCCCTTCCTCTGCAAGAAGGCCGATTCCAAGCCACCTGAGGCCACCTGAGGTCACCAGGCCAGGGCATCTGAAAGCAAACGCATCTTCAGATGCAGTGAAAATAGCGCTTCTGCACTGCCCTGGTTTCCTCCTGACCTTAGGCGTCTTCAACATCCCCCCCCCCCTGTACACACACACACACACACACACACACACACACACACACACACATCCAGGGCTGGAATCTCCGCAGGTCCTCCAGGAGGTCCTCTGAGGAAGCATATCTGAAGGTCGGTTGGTGGTCTGTGTACTTTCCTTGGTAAGCTCTGTCACTGCCACCACCCAGCTGTCCGCACTGGGCAGCACCGGCCTGCAGCCTTCCCCATTCCGCTCACAGAGCTCAGCACGCTGGGTCCCGAAGTTTGTGAATCACTCCCCCCTCTCCCGGCCTCGCCTCCGGAAGGGCTGCGCACACCCAGACACATCACCAAGACACCGAGTTTCCACACCGGACTCGCTGCTGATGAACCCCGAGATCCGACTGCAGTATCCGCTTTCCCCTCCCCACTTTCAGCCTCGGGGTTGCCGGCCACGACAACACGACTTTCAAAGACAAGACAACCCCTCCCCCGGCCCATAGCATTCTGGGGGCTCCTCACTGGGGGGCTGTAAGGGGCACCAAACAAAGACCGTGGATTTATCTGCGAGCCGGAAGGGCATGCTTGGTCTCAAGATCCAAACCCCGGCGCCCCCGGAGTTGTACATTTCGGCCTCCAGCGTGTGCCGGGTTGGCGTGGCTTGTGCTCCCAGCGCGAGCGCCGTGTGTCTGTGGCTTCAATGATGAGCTGCGAGTACCTGGCAGCTGTGAATCTGAGTGCGGGCTGGGTCTAGGGGTCGCGGGGGCCTGCGTGGAGTTTCCCCTGAGCCGGGAACTCCCTCTCCCACGCTCCCTTTCGCCCCCTCTTCCTTCAAAGTTTGGCGGGCCGCCCAGACGGGGAAGGTTGGGGGGCGCACGGCTGGGCGGCCTTGCCCGGGCCTCGGAGGCGATTCCGGGACGCCGGCGCCCTACTTACCCCGGCCGCCGAACCTCCTCCGGCGGGGGCGGATCCGACTGTCCGCGGCTGGGGTCCGGCGTCGGCAGCATCCGCTTGCAACTTTGCCCTCCTTTGCGCAGGACGCGGCAGAAGAGGCTCGGTCGTTCCGATCCCTCGCGGCCCGGGCTCTGCGCCCTCCCCGGAGGCGGTGGCGGCGGCTGGGAGGGAGGGAGGCGCGGCCCGGCCGGTTCGCACGCCGAGCGGGAAGCGGCGCCAGGCGGGCGCCGTCCTGCGCAGCGAGCGAGCGAGCGGTCCTGCCTGGCGCCCTCCCCGCTCGGGCCCGAGTCGGCGAGCGGCCGGTGGCGGCGGCGGCGGATTCCTGAACCGCGTCCAAGGCGCCCGGGGAGCCCTCCTCCTCCTCCTCCTCCTCTCCTTCCTCTCCCCACCCAGCTCCCAGCACAGCGCGCCCGGCAACTTGGGAACCGTTGGCGAAGTTGGCTCTGCTCGGGCTGCGCGCCGGCCGGGCCTCTGGGTGGAAGGAGGGGAGGAGAGGGAGGAGCTGAGGGGGAAGGAAGGGGGGCCCGCCCCCGCCCCCGGGGAGCCGCGCGCTCCAGGACCCCTCTGTGGGCCTTTGTTCCGGGTGCTGCACCTCCGCCCACCTCCCCGGGGATTCGCTGGGGGGCCGCTCAGATCTCCCACCCCTTCCAAGAGAGGTTGGGAGGAGCTCCGGCCCCGGGGTGGGTAGGTCGGGGGAGAGACGCCGTGGAGATTCGCGCGGCTTCGCCCTGCCAGAGCCTCCCAAGGCATTACCGGCCTGCCATCCTGTCTCCCTAGAGAGATCCCTCTGGCTGCGCTGGTTCTCAACCCAGAGCGGGGTTGGGGGCGGGGTGGGGGGAGTCCGAGTGATGGTCCCCCAGGGCTCTCAAAGACCAGAGCACACCGTCTTTGGGCGGTCACCGGTCACCCACCTGCCTTACCGCCTTCTCGTGCGGCTCCAGTCAAGAGTTCCCTTAGTGCGACTCCAGGGAAGCCAGAAGGAAGTGGGGTCCTCCAGGGCGGCTTCGCCTTATCTTCCCACCCTTCTGGGCAGCTGGCGCCTCAGGCGGAGGTTGGGGTGGGTGCTGCTGGCCCACAAGCGGGGACCGGTTGCCTCCCACACGTGGGGCAGTGCCCAGCTAGGCAGCCCGGCCTAATGGGGGACAAGGCCAGCTTCACCAGGAGCCTGGCGAAGTGCTGGGAATTGGAAGACAGAGACCGCCTGTTTGCTGCCCGAATACTGTGGTGCCCTGGGCTCAGGGGGTTTGATACGGGCTGGAGGCTTTTCTTCTGGAGTCTTCTCAGCACTTAGCGCCATGGGCTAATTCAGGCCTCTTGAAGACAGTGGTCCTGGCATTTAATGGGATAGTATAGGGTTCAGAACAGTAAGTCATTTCCTATAAAGGAGAAATCGGAAAACCCTAAAAGGCGAAAGCCTCAACACCTGCACTTTCCTGCCCTGTCGTTTTCAGCATTTGTAGGAAAGAAACCCAAACAGAACAGAACAGAGCACCGCCCAGACTTTTCCCCAGGGGAGAGTCCTCACAGGTGGGGGAAGTCAGAGGTCCCTGTTCATTATCTGGGTTGGGATCAGCCCAAGCTGTCCCGCCCCCCTCCCCCACCACCCAGGACTGTGGGCTGAAAGGGACCAGGGAAAATTGGTCCAGATCATGAAGTGAGACCTGGGTCTCTCTTCTGGCAGAAACACCCAACTGGGTGCTGCAGTTCTATTATTAACAGTTCTGTGGCCAGCCAAAGGGGACTAGAAATTTTGTGAGAACTGAGACCTTAAGTCCCCTACTGGGTGAGCGTCCTGAGGCCCTCACCACATCGCCAGCAGCTTTGGCTGCTCCTGCCTCATCCACACAATGCAGGCCTCTGCTTTTTAATCGGTCTGCGTGCCCTCCAACCGGTTTCCCAAACAGGCGGGGTTCTCCAGACCCCATCATCTCTTCTCTGAAGGGAGGGCCTCGCTGGAGCCTCACAGATCTTTTGAGAAGCTACATTTAACTGTGCCTGCTGGCCTTGTAAGGGAGGTCTTCTGGTCAGCCACATGGAATCTGGCCTTTTATTGCTGGAACTTTTTAAGTGCTTCAGGGGATACAAAGGATGAAACCTAGGACTGTGTCAGCTCCAGATTATAGAGCAGGGACAGTGCTACTGAGGGAGGGGTGGGGAGGAGGAGCACAAGCGGCCCGTGTGAAATTCCTGTATTCACCCAATACTTATGGAGCACGTATTGGATACGGGGGCCCACAGACGTAGACAAGCTTTAGTCCCACCTTTCGTCCAGAGAAGACAGAAGTATGTCTCAATAAATACTAGTGATACAATGTGCTATGCAAGGGGAGGCTGGGGCCGGGGTAAGGGAGTGGGTGTCCAGAACAAGACCAGAGGCTTGCACAGCTCTGCGGGCCCCAGGCAGATGGAATGTGATGTGACTGTTGGCCCCTGGAGTGGTTCAGGGCTGCAGCCTCATTCTTGGAGCCGAAGACCCCAGGCCTGGGCTTCAGAGATGGACTGGAGTTCTGCAGGCAGATGAGAAGGCAGAGATGGGACAGGGCTTTCTAAGTGATGGGACCAGCAGTTGAAAGAAACAGGTTCCTTTGGGCGAGCATAACAGCCAGCACCTGCCTGGGGCCTTCAATTGAGGGTAGCTTGGTTGCAAATGAGAGGGGGAGGGTAAAGTCCTGATAGGACATCAGGGATTTTCATCCTAAAAGAGTTTCCAGGCTCAACTTCTTCCCACAATTGCTCTGCCAAGAGGTTTGGTCTCATTTTTATTGTTTGGTTTGGTTTTGTGTTATACTGTTTTGTTTACCCCGTTTGAAAAATTGAACAATTTCACCCTGTTGAAAAAAGAACTTTCCAGGCCAGAGGCAGAATGGCAGAGCGGGTGAGAATGTAGGAGCCCGAGTACCATTTGAATTTATCCAAGTTAAGAACACTAATCATGGGACGGGCTAGCATCATGTGTCTCCCCATACGCTACACTGGGAAGCTTACAGTGTCGAATACGAAATATTCCTGCCCAAAATGATGCACCATCTGAATCTAATCATGAGAACACAGCGGACAAACTCAAACTGAGGGACATTGACGAAAGAGCTGGCCTGTCATGTTTTAAAACTGTCAAAGACAAAGAAAACGACTAAGCCACTCCAGATTAGAAGAGACAAAAGGGATGTGAGCGCTGTGGTAGGTAGGCTTCTCAGACCGCCCCCAACAACCCCACCTCAGGTCATCCACTCCCTGGTATAGTCCCTTCTCCTTGAAGGCATCTGGACCCGGCCACTTGCTTCTAAGGAATACAGCAGAGCAAAGATGACAGCATTGCATTTCTGGATTACAAAAGACCATAATTCAGGTGACAAGAGACGGACTTCCGTCTTGCTACATTCTCTCTGGTTCTTCTCAGCCTGCTTAAATTCAGAGCTGCCCTGTGGAGAGGCCCCAGTGACAAGGCACCGAGGTCCTCGGGCCAGCAGTGTGCGACAACCTGAATTCTGTCAAACATCTTCTGAATGAGCCTTGGAGCGGATCCCATCCCTGTGGAACCCTGAGATCATGGGAACCCTGGCCGACATCCTGATCGAGGGATCCTGAGTGAAGGAGCTAAGCCATATCCAGGTTCTTGACCCTCAGAAATTGTGGGATGATCAGAATGGTTGTTTTAAGCCACGAAGCTTTGGAGTGACTTGTCATGCAGCTGCGTATAACTGATACAGCCACTAAGTATGATGCATAATCCTGGAACTGAAAAAAAAAAATGCCACGAAAGACATTATTTCGATAATTGAGAAAGTATGAGTGGGGGCCAAGCAATGGCTAATATTGTGTCCGTTGGTGTATTTCCCGCGTGTGATGACTGCACTGTTCTGTAAGGTGACAGACATGTGGTTCATTAGAGATACACACCCGACCATTTAGGGTCATGATTTCTGCTGCTTCCTCTCAAGTGTTCAGAAAAACTAAAAACAACAACAACAACAACAACAACAACAACAACAACAACAAAAACCATGAAGGAGGGCAGAAATTGAGAATTGGGAACCAAGAGCAGAAATCCAGTCTGCCTCAGGTGACCAGGCCAGGTCTTGTCCTCAGGAAGCTCACAGTCTAGTGGGAAGGACTCCTGGAGACACAGTTACAGAGCAGTAAGGTAGGTGCAAGGAGGAGGCGCAGGTGGGTGGCATGGCAATGTGTGTGTGTGTGTATGTGTGTGTGAGTGAATGCACACACACGTTATGAAATGCAGGTGGGTCCCTGCCACCAGCTAGACATTTAGAAGATATTCTAGAGAAGATGCCCAAGGTAAAAGTGACAGGAGAAAATAAATAGCAGCTCTTGGCTGAAATAGAAGTGGGCAGGGAAGTAGGGAGGGCATCCTGGGCGGTCATGATTGTGTGAAACAGGGACACCGAGAGGCAGTTTGCTGTCTCCAGAGCACCTGGGGGAGATGGTGTCAGGAGTTGATGAGAGGAGGACATAGGTGAGGCCCCCCCATGGAGGGCCTTCATCACGTGCCAGGTCCCTTCCCTTCGCTGCCAAGAGCGCTGCCTACCCTTCTGCATGGTGCTCTCTGTCCTGGGGGATTGCCCTGTATGGACCGCGGCCAAAGAAAGCCTCTCTTTTTCTGGGATGATAGCAGAATGTAGAATGTCTCTTCCCAAATGCCCTCTTATGGACTGAAAACTGTTCTCCCCCAAATACATGTGTTGAAGTCCCAGCCCCCAAAGTGACTATATTTGGAGACAGGCCTTTAAGACGTAATTAAGGTTAAAGGAAGTCGTAAGGGTAGGGCTCTAATCCGAAGTGTCTGGTGTCTGTAGAAAAAGAGGAAGAGAGATCAGATCTCTCTCTCCCTCCTTCCACGGAGGAAAACCCCTGTGAGGACACAGTGAGGAGGCCTTGATCTTGAGCTTCTAGCCTCCCAAACTGTGAGGAAATAAATTTCTGTTGTTTGAGTCACCCAGCCTGTGGTGTTTTATCATGACAGGTCGAATTAATATGCTGAACCCCCCCTCTTAAAAAAAACAACAACAACGAAAGACTAGGTTAAAAAAAAAAAAAATCAGAAGACCCACAGACAACATCTACCAAAAAAACTAGGTGACAGGTTAAACCCACAGCCCAAAATACAGGTGGGCTGGGAACAAGCCAGAAGCAGTTAGGAGCCCCGTGGGTATTGGTATCTGTTTGGGAGGAAGCAGAAGGAAGAAAACTGGGCATCTCGCTGTCCCAGAAACAGGTAAACCCCCAGATCACCAAACGGTGCTCAAAAGTACAGCAGGCCTGTTCAGTAGTAGCTGAAACT